GAGAGAGAGAGAGAGAGAGAGAGAGAGAGAGAGAGAGAGAGAGAGAGAGAGAGGGCACTTGTCTAGATCAGTTAACTGAGGTGGGATAAGTCTCCCTAAAGGAGAGCTGTGCCATCCCATGGCCAGGGTTCCAGACTGAATCCACAGAAGAGAGTGAGCTCAGTGGTCATCACTCTGCTTCCTGACTGCAATGCCCCAACCCAGCTGCCTCAGGCTCCTGCTGCCTCACCATGACAACCACATTCCAGAACTGCAACAAATCCTTCCCTCCTGAAGTCGCTGTTGCCAGGGGTTTTGCCATAGCGACAAGATAAGTAACTCATACAGCTCTCCATCTCCCTAAGAGATAAAAAAGAATATTCCAAACTAGAGAGGTATCTCATATGTCTAGGATATGGAACTGGGGTCACAGACAGTTCTGAGCTGTTATGTGGGTCTGAGAACCCAGTCTGAGTCCTCTTGAAGAGCAGCCAGTGCTCTTAACTGCTGAGCTATTTCTCCAGCCCCCTCAAATCTCTCTATGCCAGCTATTATAACCATTTAAATTTAATTAAACAGTAGGCATATCAATCAAATATGAAGGTAAAAAGAACTTTCTGTGAAGACCAATTTAAATGATTTTTTTTCTAAAGTGAAAATTCTGAATGATTTAATTTAGGTGTTAAATTTAGGTGAGATTTTTTTTTTCTTTTAATTAAGACAGGCTTTCACTATGTGGCCCACAATGGCTTCTGACTTTAAATCCCTCTTCCTCTCAGCTTCCAGTTCTTGTTTCACCAACTAGAAAATTACATGATATATTATGAGTATGGTTTTTTTTACAAGAAAGAATCAGAATTCCAACAAATGATCCCATAATTAAATAAAAGACTTCAACCTATAGCAGGAGCTTGATAAATGAATGTGTACACACAAAGCTTCAGTTAATACACAGAATGTTCAGGCTGGTGAGACAGCCAGCATACGAAGCTCAGCAGCCTGCCACTAAGCATGATGACCCGAGTTCACTTTCCAGGACTCACATGGTGGAAGGAGAAAACTGACTCCAGCAAGTTGTCCTTTGACTTCCATATGTGCATACCCTCAGACAGGTACACAAAATAAAACATAAAAGAAAAAGCTCAAGATGTCTCTCTTTCATTTAAGTAAGCATTTCTAAACTTCTATTATACAAAGCTTGCTGCTTCTAACAAAGTCAAATTCACTTCATATAGGACCTGACTTGCTGCTGCCTTGGGTCAGAGGACTTTTCAAGGTTATGTCCAGCACAAACACCATCTACTTAGCAGCCACAGGAAATTTAACCCATTTTTCAAAGTTCCAAAGTTATAGTGATGAATGCCAGATGAACACTGGCTACAAATGCCTGGCAGGAGAGAAAGTCATGTGGTGTCTGTGCTGACTTCAGAGACATGGTGTTGCTATGGTCTGCCTAGGAAGAGGCAGCGCTACCTTCTCCCCAGACACAACACCCCTTCATACCCACTCCTTTCCATAGGCCCTGCCTACTCTCCTTACATGCAGAAAGGCAAAGCACAAGTCTGTTTTTCTTTTCCTATGCAAAACTGTAATATAAGGAAAAATTAACCCTGGCCCAAGCCTTTTCATTCTGTCTCTGCCTCCTGTCTCACCCCTGCCCCATCCCAACACACACATGAGCAAGTTTTCCAGGGCAGAAAGCAGCACAGAGAATTAACTGCTTACTGCAAGGGCAGTGTCCTCAGCCCACAGTGGATGTGCATGGGCTCCTGATTCCCAGCCCTTCCAGCTTCAGGAGGTGGATTCTCTGAGACAACAACCTAACCTTCTTCCTGGCCCAGGTGAGTCAGGCACCCCAGAGACTTAGCTCCAGGCTAACATGGAAAGGTGGGCTATGTGCTTTCCGCACTGCTCATCACACTTAAAAGAAAATTTATGGAGAATTTAGTTTAAAGTTAAAAATAAAACCCATTACTGATAGGAGTCACTGTTGTAAATAATAGCTCATAGTAGCCGGGCGGCAGTGGTATGCCTTTAATCCCAGCATTCAGGAGGCAGAGCCAGGAGGATCTGTGCGAGTTCGAGGCCAGCCTGGTCTACAGAGCAAGATCCAAGACAGGCACCAAAAATACACAGAAAAACCCTGTCTCAGAAAAAAAAAATAGTTCATATTAAATCATCAACTTTAGGGCTGGGCAGTGGTGGCATAAGCCTTTAATCCCAGCACTCGGGAGGCAGAGTTAGGCAGACTTCC